TAAGCTGTAGCCTGAAAGAAAACAATGTTAAATGAAACTGCAGACACAAGACAAAGGAGAGGAAAATAGAAATATTTTCATTTATATCTATTAAATAGTATTAATTTTGATACAAATATAATACGTGTATTAATATACATATATTTTAACAATATGTATCCATGTTTTTGCCTCTCGAATTAATAAATACTGATTTCGTTTGAGTGAGAATTTACAAATTACAAAAATTGATATCGTGATGAATTATTATTTTCAAAAGGAAATTACGGAAACACTGAGATATATTAGATTTGGCCCTGTTATGTAACCAATACTAAAGATTTAAAATTAGTTGTGATTCGAAATTAGCGATTACCAAATTGATTCTTCTAAAAGCTTCAGAGATTTAAAGCAGTGATTATTTATTACCAGATCCACTGTTTGCGTGGTATTTATTTGGTTTTCTTTATTGCAAAATCTTACTGGATTTATTTTCCCTTGTAAAATTTAACTAATAAAAAAATTACTATATGATCCATGTATTATTTTTAATTGCTCTATGCTCACCTGTTTTGCTTCTAATTTGTCAGTATCCAACTGTATTATTCGTATTGTCGCGCTACAAACCAAGTTCACCAGTATATGTTGTTGCGAGTGAACTGAAATTGCGTGGAGCGGAGCGCTGTGCGTTCCAGTCAAGCTTGGCCATTTATTAGAGTTCTAGACATCATCAGTACTGCAAAGTCGCTTTTGTTGCTTCCTTCGATTAGTATATTTGTTTTCCATAAGACATGCGTTTACGCAATGGTCGCAATTTGAAGACCAGAAATCTCAAGATGGCCGTCGCTGGACCTCCGCAATAAGATTCTTGAGTTGAAATATACTTCTGAGGATGATAATGATTATAATAAGGTAGGGAGAGTAATAGGTATGGCTCAGAAGGTCAAGATTAAAATAATCTATGTTATGCTTTCTGAGCAGACAAAACAGTTTTTGTGTGTTGCTACAAAAACGCTTATTTTAACACAGAGCGTCTAGTGCCCGTGCGCACAAGCCAAGAAACGTTGCCGAAGTTCCCGCGCTCCCGGACAGAAGGCAACGAAAATACATTCAGTCTACCGGTGGAAGTAGAACGAAGTGGAGCCCGTGCGCTCACTTGCCATTTGCAAACATACCTTCAGAAATTCAGTCGGTCGTTTCCAGTCGAACGAAGTAGAGCCCATGAGCTCATTCGCCGGTGCAAACATAACTTCAGGAAATAGTCCTTGTAATCGGTCGTATTGCCGTAATCAGCGATACTGTCAAACAAATTAATTTCAACAAACTTTGCACACCTTTGCAAGTGTTATTTGTGGTGAAGGCGACGACAATAATCAAGCCAATGGTGATTCTAGTCAACAGTTGTTGGCGCCCAGAGAACAAGCTGCAGATTCAACTTGGCACAACGGATACGAATTTAGATTTAAGCTCATTAAATCATTGGTACCAAATTCAGATTTGCGTTCAACTTGCTCAAGAACTTTTGCATTCAATGTTATTGTATGTATAAAATAGTTTTATTAGATTATGTAATAAAAATTTGTTCACCAAAAACCTTTCAAAACACATGTTCATTCATTAATTATAATTGTTCATTTTATGCCTCTACAGTTTGTCACCCGGAGAGACAGCCGTTTTGCCGTCGCTCTGCGTAGTACTTCATATTTTTCAGTTACGAGGACCTACAAAACATGAATTCTGTGTATACCGCGTATAAGAGGATCTTTTGTCTACATTTAACAACGAGATTTATCCACGTTTTCGTTACCACGGCCCAGCAATAACAATTTGTCTACCGAAAATTCCCCGTTTTCCGGTGCACGATTACATAACTTTCTCTTCTTAGGAGGGTTTTTCGTATGAGCAAGAACATAAAAATAGGAATTACCCCACTTTATCACAATATAATTAAAAAACTATCAATTTTTCGTAAATATTAACCTGGCATTGAATGAAAGAGGATAAAATGTGTACATTTTTAAGTGTACAAAGTTTATTCTTGTATCAATAACATCGCTATTACTGTGTAAAATATGCCTGTATATGCAACTGTGAGAACGCCACTCCCTCACTCACTAATTCCTTCATGTAATTTACATCCAATAAAGTTATAACAAATAAATACACGGATTATTTCTTTAACATTAATAATTGAAGGAGACTCTGGAGACATCACAGAGTTCACGGACAACAAACATTTATGCATAGGAAGGTGAATTTATATGTTAAGAAGTTTCTAACCGTTAACTCAGAATCTGCAACATACATTGAACATTTTTGATTTCGCCGATTTAATTATGTTTGCAAGGCGAATAATTTCCTTGTTTTCGTTTTGTGTTCTTTATTTTATTATTAAATCCATTCTTTATTTGTTGAATGTAATAATAATGTGAAATAGATTAACAAGTCTCTACAAGGTAACTATTGCCAAATTCAGCTGCTGTCTGGAGGAATATTCTAGTGGCCGGTGGCTCTGATCGGTAGTTTTCTGTGTTTTCTCTTTTCAACACCAGGCGAGTGCCGGAATAGTACGGACCACTGATTGCGCGCGATCCTTCCTTCCTTCTCCTTGCTCTATTCTCACCCTCTACACTTACACTTTCACGCACTTCACTAACACACACACACACCGGTAAACCAATCGAAAGCTTAGAACCTCTCCTGACTAGGGCGGTGTTCCTCGTTCGAGATACCTAGTTGGGGAAAACCTCATGGCTGAATGACGGGAATGTCAGTGACGGATGTTGCCATTCTGCGCGGGAACATCACCGCCACCTCAGGAGGAAAAACATGCACTACACGCACAGGGCTAATAACCTTAGTAGTTGACGTGCCCGGAATCATTAATCAATCAATATAAGTACAAAGTGACGTACCAGTTGAGAGCTGTCTGTACAACCCTTACTTTTAAATCTCGGGCCAGTTTTTCAGAAGGTAGTGCTCGCGATCTATAGTAAGTTAGTGACCTAGTGATCAAGTAAGCTAGTGTCCTTGCCCACGGCCTTGACATATGTGACCTAAAAAGTTGACGCCCCCAAAATCAATACTCACTCACTCAGTGTACGTGGTGTCACTATTAAGAAAATATGTCAGCGCTTTGCTCTCTGTCCTTTAACGAGAATTTGAAGTCCGTTTCGCAATAAAGTCATGCCATTCTCCAAATTTCCTTCATCCATCATTACCATCGATGCTGTTTATTTATCAACAGAAATTATGGAGGGGCACACACCTATTTCGATGCTATACTTCGCTCTTTAGAAAATTATGAATGGAGTTTCATTTTATAGAAAGGTCGTGGGAGACTCATAAACATAGTTGTCTGTGCTCTTGCAGTACCTCACCCATCCGCTTAAAGTTGACTGTACAGAGAGTATTAGAAGCGCGCCCAGTGGTAGCAAAGGCACGGTCCTGAATATGGAAATGGCAAAATCAAAGATTTCCAGGTATGAAATTAAAGCCTTTTATTTGAAATAACACCAAAGGGAAGATTGTTATATCTTCGGACACTTTCACTTTTAGATCATGCCAATTCCGTCTTGTGGTTGCTATGAAAGTTCGTTTGTCAAGTCGCGACGTGAGAAACAAAGGTATCTATCTGAATTTTTTTGTAAATTCTGATTTTGTTGCATTTGTGTGTAGAGAAAGCCTATATGTTTCAAATAAGAGAGATAGTGCAACTGAATTCACAATAGTTTCTACGTTATAATCAGGGAAATCTAGTGCTATATGCATATTTGGTCAAACCTGAGAATCAGATAGTTCTACATGCAGCATCTGTTGAAAATGTACGTACTTGACTGTGTTGTAATTAGAGGAAGTTCTTGTAGTATGGCATATCGTTTTCTTTCTAATGAAAGTGTATAGAGATTCCATTAAAAATGTAAGTACAGAGTTTTGATCTGACGTTCATATGATGTACTTCATATGACCACTAGATGTTTTATATTCTTCACACAGTAAAAGTATTTTTCATTTTAGTATAAATGCCATAAAATGTGTGATACGATCGCAAAGTGAAGAAAGTGACAGACATGTCGAACTCTCATCGACGCCTGGGTGTTGGAATTCTGGCTGATGGGTGTAATATTTCTAACAGTACTGTGCATTGTGGCATTGTTACCGAAGATTTGGGCATGCGGGAGATCCGCACGAAGTTCCCAAGGTGTTTTCCAATGAACAGAACTCGCGTTTTTTGAATAATGTGATTAGGGGTGACGAAACATGGGTTTTCGAGTACGGGGTTCACTCAAGGTACATCATTTTGAAACGCTGGAATCCATGAAGGAAGCGACGACGAAGTGGTTGAAGGATGACTCCGCCCACGCCTTCCATGCGTCTGGGAAACCGCTGTCACCGGTGTGACGACGCGGAAGGAAGCTACTTTGAAGGATTTTAGTTGCTTGAACCTTTATCTGCAATCATTTTTCCTGGACTTATTCAAGTAAATTATGTTAGTATAATGTTTGCATATAGTATACAAGAACGCTATGCTAACATGTTCGAACTGGAATGTTGTCGAACTGGAATATGTTGGTTAGAGACTGAGAATCCCAAATTACAGGTATGTACACACTGCCCTCATACCCTCACAATAATGGTTATTACACGCGTGAAGGCATTGCCACAAGCAAGATAAGCAACTCACGCCGACATAAACTTCCTTTTCGCGATACGTGCCTTGTGGATATGAATAGTAGGAAACGGAAGCGTCTTTTCCGCCCAGTGGCTTTTCCTAGCAGCCACAAATATTTGTAGCATCTCCTCTTGATAGGATATCGCCTTATTACTTTACATAGTAATAAGATTTAATTTCTAGAGCTTTCACTCTCCTTTCGCAATAAAGTAAGTGGCCTCATCACCCCAAATTCGACAGTTCACGGAAAGTAAGAAATACAGTTCCAATATCTCTCACTTACAAAATACTGTTTGTTTCACGTTTGCTTTTAATCCATATGAACTTATAAAAACATATATTCTTAACTGCAGTTTCACACAGAATTTAATAATTTTATTTGAAATTATTATCATTATCACAATAAAATTTATTACATAATTTAATTACGTTAGTATTGTTCATTAATTTTTATATTCATGTTTTATACAACTTTTTTTAAAAAATTACCGTATTCGATTTTTAAATGACATTTGAAAGTATTAAGGTTTTCAAGAGGGCAATTTGTGTGGTGCGGCTCTTTTCCAGTTAGAACGTTCGTTCTTTCGCCATTCGCGACGCAGTGGAGTTGGAAGGTCCTTGATCAGATGCCACCTGAGACTGGAGAAGTTCTGTGGGGTTTAGTGGCTGCATTCCCCATTGATCAAGGTTATTTTCAGTTTTCAAAACTTCGTAGGGAGGTGGTTGAGTGACATCCTCGTATTCATGTGGGTCGAACTGCAACAAAAATGTTTTCAAAAAGTGTTCTCATAAATCAGTTAAAAGTTTTAACATGCACGAGATGCAAAAATCAGGATGTAACTGAATTAACTAATAACACGGTATAACATCACTTTTTTTTGTTTGGACAAGTACATTAAAACCTATTTCTTGATTTGACAATTTAAGAGTTTTGAGTTCATTTATTTTGAAAAAATAAAAATTAAATTGGAGCATACCAAACTCTTTGCCCTATTCTTGGTATGTCAAGCGACTTGTTGAATTTGATATTCCTAGCTTTAATACATAATTTTCTGATTCCAGGACCTTAAGATTTTCATGTTCAACAATTATTATTTCAAATACACTACTTCTGAAGTACATAATATTGTTTGAAGAAGGGCAGACATTTAATCACAAATTTATGTATTATACATGCAACAAAGTTCAATCAAGTTTTACTTAGAAGAATGTTATATGTTTCATATTATTTTACTTGTCGAAAATATATTCCGTGACCCTATCTCTAAATACATTTTCCAAATAATATGCGACTTAGGAATTTTCTGCTCTCAAGTATTCAACGTTAGAACCTACAAACCTATGATCCTGTGTTCAATTCTAAGCCATTTCATGTGGAATTTCTGTACGATAAAGAGGGTTCACGGGAAGTCTCTGGGTCTCCATTTTCTCTATCCTAGAACTGTTTAATCAAATAATTTGGACTAATGTTTTAAAAAATTTTAAAATTGTAGTTCAGACTTTATGTAAAATATCCTCAAAACACAAAATATGTGTTTCAAACTCTCATATTCTTGAGTTCATTTAAATTGTTCCAGGAATATCAATTTTGGACAAAACCGGCTGCAGTTTTTTTCCGTTTAGCCCAGGGGTGTCCTACTTACAAGGCCTCAAGGGCCACAACTAAAACATTTAATATCGTTGCGGGTCAAATTTTCATTGCTTGGGTGATCCAAATCTGAATTCCCTGTAATGTTTGTCGGCACTTTGCTCTGAAACGGAGGAGGTGGGAATAGAACATGCATAAGGCAGTGAATAAAATTGAGATGAGTTTCTAATCTCTTAATTTACAAAAAAAATAATTTCAAAAATCCAAACTATATTTTTAAAGTAAAGGGGGGTCAGATCCAAACAGAGTGCACGCAGCACGGGCGCCCGAAATTGTTTAACTGGACTTCCACTTTTCAAATAACCCTTCGCGGGCCACAGTAAACGGCACCGCGGGCCGCCCGTTGAACAAACTTGGTTTAGTCGCTAGCGTTGACCACAGACGGACGGGCAGGCAGACGTTTTGCCGTCAATCGAATTTTCGGTATTAAGGACCCACAAAACATGAATTATCGTAACCTACTTTAACATTGATGGGATTAGAAACATTCCGTAGCTTAGCCATCATCGTATCTACGATTAAAAAAAGTCTGGCTACCAGACACGTCTTAAAGGCTTTTGACTGAACGGTGCTAACATTTTCAATAAAAAAAGTGTGTGCAGAAGATGCATTATTTCCACTCGAATCTCTTACTTCCTTATCTCTCCCGAGTCATCTAAGCCAGAGGGCCTCAATCAGAGCCACGGACTCACTGCGGCGGCGGCGGACGCGGTACGCGAACTTAGCGTACTGGACTGTTGTACCCAAGTTGGCGGGTTGAAACCCGATCGAAGCCGTGGATTTTTAAGGGCGAAAAAATCCTTCGTACGCCTTCCTTCGTAGGGGAAGTACAGCCGGCTGTCCCATGTTAGTAGATTTACTTGCATGTAAAAGATCCTCAAGCCTAAATGACGCCTCTGAGCTAAATTCAAATCGCCTGTTTCTCGCCCAAGAAATACCTCCTTTCTCTCCTAGTTGGTGAAAGGAGCGTAGCGAAATTTCACGTTCTCAGATGGAAGTGCCGGCCTGGAGTCTCGCCAAGTAAAATAAGGCAAATTCGATTCAATATAGGTGTTGTGGTGTGATATCTTTGGCATTTTTAAAATAATTAAAGATGTTGTCATTGCCAACAATATTATTTAATGCGATAGCTAAGCCATCGAAAGCTGCTATTGCATTAAATAATATTGTTGGCAATGACAACATCTTTAATTCAATTCAATTCAATTCACCGCCCGGTTGAGCTGGTAAGAGGAGTGCAGCAGGGGCAGGCCGGCGGAGGGCGGGCGGTGCAGGCGGCCGCGGAAGAAGTGCTCGGAGTAGCCTGTGCTCCGGGAGGAGTTGCTGTCCAAGGTGGCGGCGTCGTCGACGGGGCCGCGGCCCCACGCGCGCCGCGCCGGGTTCAGCTCCTCGTACTCCTGGAAGGAGGTGGGCAGCAGCAGGCGCGAGCGCACCCAGCGCCCGGCGCCCGCCGCCCGCGCCACGGCGTCGTACGCGCCGCTGCCCGCACCTGCACGCACGACACACGCACCGCTGAGCGGGGGTGGTGAGGTGGAAGAGCAGGCCCTACAGCCTGAGCCTCGCCATTAATAAAGGCATTATTATTATTATTATTATTATTATTATTATTATTATTATTATTATTATTATTATTATTATTATCCGGGTGACACCGCGTCGATCATGACTCTGGCCGCGGAAGCCTACGACATCATTATTAATATTATTATTATTATTATACATATTACTATTACATTACATATTATTTTATTACATCAAATACATATTATTATTATTATTATTATTATTATTATTATTACTATTATTATTACTTATGAGTACGGAATGTGTGGTGCATGTTATATGCCGGTACGTGGCGGTGTTCTTTCTCCGCCGGAATGTCAAATCGGACGCTAATCTACGTCTCCTTGCGAATGTCTACTCTCTCCTAGCGAGGAATCGCCTTAGTACGGAGCTCCCCACATACAGGCCGAGGTGGTTCAGGGCATAACCGGGTGTAACTGCAGAAGCTCTCGTCGGGAGGACGTAGGGATCGAGTCCTGACAAGATGTTAGAATTTTCGACTCTAGCTTCTTTCATATATAGGTTGAATTCAACCGACTTTTGTAGCAAACCGCGAATTGTAAGGATTGGATGCTCTAATCGGTAGTATTCCGTGGTTCCTCCGATCAGCATTAGATCACAATTTCAGATCAGCCCCGTAAGAAACGGGCCATGTAACCGCGTGTGATCTTTTCTGCTTTCTTGTCCTGTCCTCATTCCTTATTTACAATCACCCCCTACCACACATGTCGGGATTCCAGGCGAAAGCTTAGTTTGTCCCGGCTTGCGCGGTGCCCTCTTGGTAAGAGATAACTAGTTGAGAAGAAACACTGCAAGTGGACGTGGAGGTCGGCGTTAGATCTGGACATCAAATGGGAGATCGCCTTTACTTCCCCGCGATAAAACATATTCTACACGTAGGGGACTAATGATCTTATCAGTTGACGCACCCGAAAATCAAGCAATCGCAGTTCGAGACAAATCTAACGACGAGGTTAGTAGTGTAGTGCTTGTAACTAGGCGTGTGTGTAAATGTGGCGGATATCCAGCGTGTATTGAGTAGAGAAACCACCGAAATATATTGGTTGTGGAGGCCGCTGACCCGATTTCTGCTCGAGACTGCTTGAATTCAACCTACATGTGTAGTTAGTTTTAAAAATCAGCCACTCGCGATAAGATTTGAACCATAAGACACCGCGTTCAACATTTCTGTGAAGCCAATGTCATTGTCGCTGAGCGGTTACAGACGGTACGCTTTCAGACAGCGATGCGGATTGACCATAGTCAAAATAATAGCGTCACAAAAATATAAGTAATTCCACCACGTTTATCATAAACGTTATTTTGCCTTGCCCCCTATCCCCTTGTAGATTATAAAATTTTAATCTCACCAATCGTTTTCCTTGATGCTCCGGATGGTCATTCATTCTTAATCTCCCCGATGTGGTCAGATACCTCGTGTGCTTAAGTGCATTTTTTAAAGTAAATCAATTATACGTTTTTTGCTTATGGATCAAATGTCAAGACCACTTAAAAAGTTTATTACTTTTATGTAAATCCCCGACTCAGACTTAATACGAGGCATATTCGCAAAGCAAGTACCGTTTTAAAGAAAAAATACCATTTTAAGATTGAAGAGAATATTAATTTTGGAGAATTTGGTTTAAACAATAGCGTTTATCACAGACCGGACAGAAAGACCAAACCCTGAACAATCAGTCAGCCAGCCAACTAGCCGACCAAGCGACCGACCGGACAGACTGACCTACCGGATAGACAAACCGACTGATTGGACAGGCAGACCCTGACCAAACAGACAGATTGACCTGGCAGACAGGTAGGCCAACCGTCTGGATACAGACTGACCGGACAGACAGACAGACTGATCAGATGGACAGATAAACAGATCCACCGGACGGACAGATAGTCCATAAGGGCCGACCGAAAAGACATAGAAAGAGAGACAGGCAGGAAAGACAGACAGACGTTTTACTGAAAAGTAGTACAATACTTTCTTTTTCTTACTATCTAGTGTGTAACTTTAGGTAACAGACGAGAAAGAAAAAAGAAAGGTAGAAGTAGAGAAGAAGTGAAAAGAAAACAGTGGAAGAGGGAGAGTTAAAAATATGAGTAGGGAGATACTGGAGGCAAAGGGAAAGGTTAAGAAACGGGAGAACTAGTCGTAGAGTGGGCAGAATACTGTAAAATATAGAGTGAGATAGATGCAATAATAATAATAATAATAATAATAATAATAATAATAATAATAATAATAATAATAATAATAATGTAAGAAAGATAAATGCAATAAGTATCCGGAGAAGTAAATTCCATGTTTTACAGAAAAGCAAGAATAGTTTATTACTGCAGACTCTAAACACACCCAACTATTACTCACTATATTTACTTACCACATCCCCAATAAACGCTTCTCCTTGATGTGAAATCTCGGGAGTGCGCAGCTTGCCGTCCCCAACTGTAAGATATATGAATTTTTAAGTAACGTTTTATAAAATAAATGTATAGACTGTAAACAAATTTATTTCCAGTATAGTATTACTCGTAATACTTTTAAAAATACATTAGAACTTACCAATATCCAGCGAGGAAACTTCCAATTGCTAGAACGAATAATACTAGGCATAGAATAGCTATAAACGTCCACGAAGAATTGAATGACTCACTGCGCTTATGCAATCTATTTCGATCGGTAACACACGATGCTTTATGCTCTGCAGTCGTATTAGCCTTCTCAGTTAATTTCTGATTATTCGTTTGATTATTTGCATCTGTAACATTTAACGTCGTCTTGGGTCGAACTGTTGGAGGGGATGTGCTCAACGGGGTGGGATCTGTTAACGCTCTTGCACCGTCACGTTCTTCTCCTGGCATGCCCCTTGATCTGGTTACGTTGCTTCGGTAGTGTAGCTGCTCTGTAGGTCGTGGGCTATCAAATGCGTTTTGCGAGGAACTTTCGTAGAGTAGCGCGTTAGTTCCTGGAAGTTCGTCTATCGTCGAGGATGTAATGGGTTTGCTCGATGGGGCCCTTCGTCCCTCAGGTGCAGTTCGTCCTTGTACAGTGGCTGGCTCTCCCGCGATGCCGTTCTGCAAGAAACTCACTGACACGTTGAAGAGCGTCCCTGGTCGCAGTGCAGTTACCTTTAAAATATGCATTAGAGTGTTAATAATATATTGATATTTTAGGGCACATCAACTGCTAGGATCGTTCAAATGGAAACAGAGACTGAAGTCTAAAAGTGAGTATGGGTGAACAGGAGCGCGCAATAGAACATAAATTCGAGTGAAAAGTGGATGGAGAACGGGAAAGAAGTTGAGGCATGAGCATGGGAAGAGACTGATTGGGAGCAGGGGCGGCCGGTGGGTTGCCAAGTAGGAGGGACAGCATGTGTGTTCGAACTATAATATACATTTATCTCCTAAAAATATTTATTGAACGAGGAAAACTATAGCATGGAGAGTACAAACGATATGCACGTATGGTAATTTTAATAAACGCACGTATGGTAATTTTAATCCTTGTCTAAGGCAACTTTTACGTTGATAACGAAAAATACAATTATGCTCTCCTGACAAAAAGAGATTTTTTAAAAAGTATTTCCAGCAAACCAAACAGTAATGAAATCATATGAAAGGGTCTGTATTCTTAGCTTAAACAATAGCCGCGGACTCTGCCGAATGAAACCCGAATAGGAGCATGCAGCACCATCCCAACTTCTACCACCCTTCCTTAAAAACCCTTCCTTCCATTGCCTCACAAGCTCCAGCTATGGACGGATTCACCGTAGTCCACGATACGACTCATTCCAAAAACATTCATCTTTCACATAATCGGGCACTAACAAAATTCGTTCTAAATCATTGCGCTGGAAAACTAAACGAGTCGATTTTTTGCGAGTTTAATACTTTCTGCAAATTTTCTGAGGAGGGTGCCACCCTAGAGGCGGACATAAGGAGCAGCCGCCACTGGTTGCGAGCCCTGAAGAACGGGGACGTGGCCTGAGAGAGGGCGCCTGCGGTGACTCACCTTGAACGCCATGAGCGCCTGGCCTCGCACGCACACCGTGTGGTTCCTGACGGCCGCGCCCGCGCTCACTCTGACGAGCGCGTGCGCCGGCAGGCCTCCCGGCAGGAGCGGCAGGCGCCAGCGCAACTCCAGGGCCTGCGTCTGCACCCCCGCCACCTCCAGTCCACGCGGCCGCACCGGCGGCCCTGCCAAGCACAAGCCCTTCGCTGCAGGACTCCCGCGCCCACGAGCATCGCAGCTGAGACTCAACAAGCCCCTGCATGCGCCTGTGGCCACCTTGGCAATCAGCTGACTTCGGAACGAGATCCTCCAAGAGACAACCCACGTACACACACACTGTCTGTTGACGTGCTTTGTCTCTTCTAGCAGTCGCACACAATTTCACACACATGCCTACGTCAGAAACATCAGCACATACAAACTCCAACACACGCCCTTTCACTCCAAACACCAACACATATACACAAACACCACAAACACTAACTCACACACACCAACACCAACACACGCACGAACCGTCACACAAACAACACATACACCAACATGCACATACACCAAGTACATCAATACACTCATACATCACATACAATAGCTTCCATTCACAAATACACACACGTTCTCCACAAACAGCAGCACGCGCATATAACACAAATACCAACATATACACACACATACCACAAAGACTAACAGACAGATACATATACTCGTATACCATTAATACCGACACCTACAAACACTACAAACACACAAACACCAACAAGCACATATACATAATAAACATGCATACATCACAAACACCAACCAACACATACACTTACGCCGTCAACACCAAAACAAATAAACACACGCCACAAAATCTGACAATCCCACATACATTAATACTCACACGCATAGATAACAAACACCAACACACACAACACACTGATACAACACACATCAAAACAATAGTATTGCATAAGCTAAGAAATCTAGGTAAATTTTGTCTGTGATTGGTTGGCTACCCAGGAACTCACAAAAAATTTAAAAACAATGAAACTGTTTCTATTTTGACTGAAAACACAAATATTAGGTTGATCAAACACGAACGAGACTTTTTGTAAAATATTTTATTGAATATTGGGAAATTAAAAAAACAATCCAGAATACTACTTTACATAGCTCCAGCATTATTTACATATTTTGACACCTTATTGTTTCATACTTCCGTAGTCAAAAAAGGTTTAGCTGACGATGTATATCGAGTTGCAAACGAAGTCGTCCACTTCTTCATTAGTGGAAAAAGTCCTCAAGTCCTCTTTAAGTGGTCCGAAAAGATGGTAGGCCAAAGGCGACAAGTCTGGGCTGTAGGGGAGTGTTCCAACACTGTCCAGTGTAATTACTCAATATTGATTGGGTAACAACTGCAGTATGTAACCTTGCGTTGTCATGAAGGAGGAGAACTCTGCTTATTGAATTCCTGCGTCTTTTCGACCGGTAAGGATCTTTAACCTTCATCGAGAGATAACAATTGCTGAATTAACTGTTCCTGACGAGTGCAGAAAATCAACGTACATCACTACTTTGGCATGCCATAAGACAGTCATTAGGACTTTACGGGCAGACAAACGAGTCTTTGTTTTGAATGACGCTGATTCATGTTTTGGTCCCCACTGGACCTTTTCGTTTTAGGAGTGTGATTTTAGAAATGAGTCTTCTTCTGCACCACAACGATCCCAAAGTCTTTGAGAAGCTTCCACCTTGCAGGCTTCTGATTTGCATTCAAACGAATTGGTACCGTCTTAGCACAGATTTTCCCATATTTTAAGTGGTTTCTGACGATTGTTTGCACACTTCCATAGAATAATGAAATTGTTTCACACACTTCCCAGACAGTTATTCATCTGCCACTACGAATAATTTCTTCCACTCTTCGAACGTTGTTCAACGTAATGCTTTTTTATGCATCCCGCGCATGAGTGAGGTTGGCAACACTTTTATGGCTGCCACTAAACACCTTGTACCGTTTGTTGACTTAATAATTCAAAAGCGTCTCACCGCCAAATTTTCCAGGCCATCGCATCAAAATTTCTGATAGCTTCACCCGTTTATTCGCCCAAAACAGAATATTAATTCGTTGTGCAACTGAAACGTGTACCTCTTGTTCACTCATTGTGACAAATACCACAAATGGACTTTAGAACCAAAAGTGCAACGCTGATTGAGAGTAAATACTACTACCAACTGCGGACATTTGCCACGTAATTGATATCAGACAAATGTCACGTTGATTACTAAAGTCTTCTTCATATTTCATCAACCCTCGTATTTAATTCCGCCAATTCCTGTATAGCACATTTCATCAGCAGTTGATTGTTGTTTTCCTGGTGCGTCAACTGCTGTCAACGTGTGTGTGTGTGTGTGTGTGTGTGTGTGTGAGAGAGAGAGAGAGAGAGAGAGAGAGAGAGAGAGAGAGAGAGAGAGAGAGAGAAATTGTAAAGGGAAAGATACACATATGAACAAAATATCACACTCATTCGGTGTCTCGTTTGTGAAGGTACTGATCGCGCATTAATTCGATCGGAACAGGCAGCCGTTAGGTAGCCAACAGGAACTTTTGCCATTTTCAAACAGTCTGAAATTTCAACGAAAATGAGGTCTGCGCCATTCTCTTAAGCGTACGCTTACGCTATTCGAGGAAAAAGTGTAATAAAAAATTGGTGCAATTTTTGAGAAGATTTTGAAAATGTTTTTGGGTTTCATGTGAACCACCCTCAAAAATATCCCTTTGAATCTCTCAAAGCCTCGAGTTAGTTGAGATCCATCGGCAAATATCTATTTTGGAGAAAATCGACTGAACGGTTTAGGCGAAGACGGATAGACGGACAGACAGACATACGTTTTGTCGGCACTTGATTTTTCGGTATCAAGGATCCACAACATAAATCCTTGCTACACCTCTTGTAAGAGGAAATTTACTATAATATTAACAGGATTTCTCTATATTTTTGTCTAGGCCCGGAAATAAGAGTTTTTCTCGCAAAAATTCACCATTTTCCGGTGCAGGAAATGCAAGAAAATAAAAAGGTACAGTGGCCCTTGATTCTATTGCTTTAGAGATTGATAAGTAAAAATTAGTTCGCACCACAGCAGGAGTACTGCAAGGACCTTGAAGCCACAGTATACAATAATTAAGTGAATCAAAAATAATTTTGGTACTGTGAATTTCTTGAAGAAAATGTATGACTTATAGAAAGAGAGCTATAAGCTACACGTTTTTTTAAGTTGACCAAACCACGATTCTCTCTGAGAAACCGTCGCTTTTCAACATCTACGTCATATTGTGACCACTGTGAATTTTAAACTGTATGGAGAACACGTAAGAACAACACACAAAAGTATGTGTGCACACACAAATATCCACGCCCGAGGTGGGATTCGAACCCGCAACCCGAGACAGATACGAACTTCAGTCTTAACAAACTTTATTTACATTCAGCATTACAGATTTCCATTTTCTTGCCATGTAGCAAGGTAACATTATTGATTTGAGCGACAATTAATTTGCATATTTTCGTCAAATATTAAATGAACTGTATCTCAATATTGCATCAGTCTAGTTTATGATTATCTCTCAGAAACTGTTGAAATATATTTCCTTATTTCTATTAAAAACTAATGGCTACTTTGAATGTTTGACAATAGCTTTGGTTTAAATTAAAAAGATTACATATCTTCATTTTTCTCACCTAATGTAGAAATTCTTCGACATTTTTCCGGTTTACTCAGTGCGCCATCTTGCGTTCTCTTCACCTGCACCTAGAAAAATGCAATGTCTTACTTTTTGCATTTTTCCTCCCATTATATCTGCAAGATTCCTTTTTGTTTTTGAAAGAAATAATGTATTAAAATGTATTTATACTCATTATTGATTGACACGGTATTCAACATTATAATCCATATGGATTATGGCGAAGAAATGTGCACAATCATTCAATTAATTTCTTTACATGTGCTTCTTATGAGGTCACTAGTCCCGTAAGAGTAGTGCGTGTTTTTTCCTCGAGAGGTGGCAGTGATCTTCCCCCCACTGGACGGCGTGATCCGGCGCTGACCTACTGTCGGCTAACGGGGTTTCCCTGAACCAGGTCCAGGCGGGGCGCCGCCCCAGCCGGGACAAGCTCTGAGCTCCCGACCGGTCACCTGGCTTGTGTGATAGTGTAGTGCATGTTAGTGTATGTGTAAGGGGCGAGAATAGGGCATGGAAGAGGAAAGAAAGATCGCGCGCGGTCCGTGGCACGTGTGAAGGTACTGCTCCAGAATTCGCCTGGTGTTGATCGGAAACTAGAACGGATCGGAACTAGTTAATCGGAAACAATGGAAAACTGGCGATCAGAGCAGCCGGCCTCTAGAATTCTCCTCCAGACAGTGACTGAATTCGACCTAGCTGACAAGCTAGTGTCGAAATTCTTGCCACTGTCGACTCGAACCTAGGACACCTCGGTGCACTGGAGATAGAGGCACTGCAATGACATCAGTTAATGCACTGAGCCACCTCTCTCGGTACAAAGATAGAACCACGTATATCTCTATACAAATAAATAAATCTAGTATCAAAGAATTATACTGAGTAGAAATATCCTAGTCAAATTTCGCTCAGAGGCATCTATAAAGCTTGATGATCTTTTAAATGTTCTTGTCATCTTGTAAATATACATTTTTATTGTAAGATTTTATTACGTAATCATCCCGCCGTACTGGCGGTAGGCGAATTGCATTTAGTGACTGCTCATACCTACATGAAATATGTGAGCGGAGGTGGACCCCAGTAGGTGGCAATGTCGCTCAGGATAAGCGACGCAGGGTTTGGTGGGCCACGTGACCATGTCAGTGACGTTGCTCCAAAACTTTCCTCCTGATGATTCGGTGGACTCATAGTTGGATAGCTTGATTACTCGGTACTCAAGCAAGGTCGTGCACTTGCTTTTTGGGGGAAGCCAGCTCAATACTAGTCCCTCCTCAATGTCCATGTGCACCATCAGATTCTGCACTCCCGGCACGTTATCTGTACATGGAAACAAAGTTCGAAGTGATAATTGAGACCATTCTTTAAATACATAAATATTACTTTGATTATTTCTGAAAGCAGTGTGTATCGTGTGACAAATATCATACATTTTGTCAAAACTCTTTATTATTATTATTTTACTTATAAATTGCTATGGCACTGAAATCAATTAGATGATGGAGGTCTAAAATAAAAGTGTGGTTCTTCTTCATTCATTGATATAGAAGAAGGTTTATTCCATATAAATATTTTTAATAGTTATATGCAAGTAAAAACTAAGTAAAAAAGCATCTGAAAGTATAATTAAGAATCAACTTTTCTTTAATTATTGGGGTTAGTATATTAAAGTGTTTAGTTTGCCCAATTTTATATAGAGATCCCACCTCGGTAAAAGAAAAAAAACACATTTCGATTCTAAAAGCCTACAATTCCATACGTCATCTTTTATTAAGTTAAAATTCCAGGCACAATGTAGGTAAAACAGATAACTAAACTTAAAAATGCTATTTGATTTAATGAACTATTTAAATATTATAAACATTACATTATTTGTATGCGATTAATATTTGATTACAATTATGAATGGAATTACAATTGTTTAAAGGATTCCTGAAAATTTAAGTTTTGTACGTGGTATAAAAATCGGAACTTACCTCCGCATGTCCTCGCGTGGACGGGATTGTCACGTGATATATTGCTTGTTGGGGGACAACTAGCTGTATCTTCTGTACCCTCTACATGTAATACTATTTTAGTAAAAACGTGATATTGTGTATTTGGTTGTAATGTCTCAAACGTCACCAACGTCATCTTCCCTGCCGTCTGGTTTCTTTGTTCTGATGTTTGAAGGTAACTCTGCCATGTTGAGTCACTTTCTTTCTGGAATGTACGCATTATGATTTTTAAACGACCTCTTTAATTTTCGTGTAAGTATTGTAAGCTTCTCATAATCATCATTTTCTTTACTATTATAATAACTGAGACGTTAAGAAGACAAACATATCATATAATATTCACAGTATTTCGTGTTCTCTAAATCATTAATATTGTTTTTACTTTCTCGCATTACGAGTTCTTTGTAAGAAGAGAAAATTATGTAATCGTCCTCCAAAAAAGGCGAAATTTTGCCAGAAAAAACGTATTGTCGTGTCTGTTTTTTCTTGAGCTTCAGGTCAGTTGTAGTAAAATTCCACGTTATTACACCAGTGACTAATAAACATGTACAGCTAACGTTATCACGTCGGCAACTATCAAACAAATAATGTAGAATTTTTCAGTAATAACAGAGTTTTCTTCAACGGACCTAAAATCAAAAAAACAAACACTTGAAACACACTATTGAAACCAAACTTAATGTTTGTTTTGGTCAGTCCTTTCGCTTGGTGTCACTGCTCTGGGTAGCAATATGTTTTTGTACTGATCTTTTGTAACCTAGACGTAAGTAATGATTACCTAAAAGAACATTGGTTCTGAAAACATCAAAATTCCAGCGTACTTTTTGTCACTAAATAAGTGTAATGACCTTACTGACACGCTTTACATGCATTTTTCCACGGTGGCAACGTTACGACTTTCGGTCTCCCCAAACTACGTTGAACAATCTCGAATCTGACCAAAAGAAGATTATAACGTATTCTTAAGCAAACAAAAAAAAATAGACAGGTATGTTCCTGTATTCAGTAAACATGCTGCATACTCCCCGCAACACCTACAAGCAAAGTGACCAAGGTTAAGTACTACTAAATTGGCACATCTAATCAACTTTAATGGGGTGCATTTGTATTCCAGAAGCAGAGAAACACCCCATAAATATATAAATTGTTTATTATTTACAATAAGAAATGAATACATGAGACTTCAATACTTCCCGATTCCACCCGGTTTCCTCAACAACAACAACAGGAATTCGTGTTAGAAGGTCTGTCGTGAAAATGATGCGTGCATATTTGGTTAATAAAAGGACTCTAAAAATAAAAATCAAGTGAAGTTAAGTCGAGAGAATGGATTAGAAGGAGGCCATAAATTAGTATTTCTAGAATTAATTATTCAATTTCTCGTGAACTGTCTCGTCTGTGAATAATATCTGTGCAAATATCAGGTCTTTGAAGAAGCGAGCTACAAAACTGCATACGCGATTCCTTGTCTTGTGTCTGCAAGTTTTGCACATTGCAAAATTTATAAAAATACAAACCTTCATTGTGAAGGAATTTCTGCACTGCACTCTTCGCAACACCCCACCGAGAAGATATTCTTCTTACACTAGTTAGAAGGTTGCACTCTAACCTTCATCATCCATCACAACATGGTCACTTGCTTATTGTGTACTTCGAGAAAGGCAGCGTTCGGAGGTTGTAAATAATGAACCAGTTTCTCGCAACCCTCTGAAGGTGTTAATATCTACGCTTTTATGCAGTACAATATGACTAGAGTACCGTACGTGATGTACCGCCTACAAAAACCGTCTGCATATTCCTCGTTGTTGCAACTTCGCAGCATTTTCATGCAAAATGCAAGTCGCTGTAGTCAAAAGGAGGCTGATAGGTAAGTCAACCAATAATCGAAACTGTTTCAGGTGTTGCAGGAAATAAACCTCCGTGGCACGCTGATTAAAGTGTCGCATTCGAATCTCGCGGGCTGTTCGAAACCAGGTTTCGCGCGCTTGGCGAGTACCAACCACATTACTTCCACATAATTAACCACGCAAATATAGCTAAAAGAGATAAAATTGACTGCATATTTAAAGAAATTTCTTTACTCAGAACAACTTGAAAAGTAAAGTGTTAAAGTTGTTTCCTCCCCGGACACCTGTATATTACACTGACTTCACGTGCTTGGATTAACTTTTAGAATTTTTTTAAATTTCATTTATTTTATTTACGTCAGAAACATTTACAAACTATGGGAGATGTGCAATGGGGAGAAGTTAATTTGAAGTTACATTTAAAGGAACTTCAACGTAATTTGACGAGGGAATGGTAGCAAAAGCATTGTGCGACAATCAGATTGAAATTTATTTTCGTGGTAAAACTCGCATGTAGGGCAAATATGGTCGAGAATGTCCATCCATAGCAAACTACTCACACAAACTACAACCCATTGATTGATTAATGATTCCGTGCGCATAAACAGCTGTCATTAGTCCCATAAGTGTAGTTGTCCAAACTGAATTTATGTAATTTCTGCTGAACGCATTGCATTAAGAAAAAATATCTTTTCTCAAATCTCAAATTTTGAATTTTTGTAATTTTCTATTTTCAAACAGTCAGGGATTTCAACGAAAATGAGACCTGCACCATTCTATTAAGCGTCTTTTACGCTATTCGAGAACAACATTTAATCAAAAAATTTTGAGCATTTTTTAGAAAACTCAAAATATCCCAGGGGTTTTATGTAAAGTATTTCCCAAAATTAAAACATCGGTTTCAAAATAAAGGACTCACGACATCAGCCAGATCGATTAGGGAATGCCAATTTTGGTTAAAAACCTGCTTGCGTTTAGCCGCTAGCATTGTTCATAACGCAAACGGACAGACATTTTGCCATCAATCGATTTTCGGCGACAAGGACCCAAAACACATGGATTCTGAGTACATGTCTTAGATTTACGGAGATAAGATTTACCCACGTTTTCGTTACGTGGGCGCGACAATAAGACTTCTTCTGTCGAAAATTCGTCAATTTTCCCTCAGCATTACAATACTTTCTCTACACTGCGTAATCCAGGCATATCAAGGTCGCGGGCAAGGTAAATAGATGACTAGAGTTTGTGGGCACTGCGTCCAGACAACTGGCGCGATATTTACAAGTAAGAGTGTTAAAAATGATCCAGAGAGGCTGTTCATCACTGGATATCTGCTTCATGATAGTCTTGGAAAATTCATTTGACAGCTATGGCTACAAATTTAGATATATTGATTCCCATTTCCCCTACTAATTCAAAAAGATGATCCATTAAAATATAATAATACATCAGATGTCAAATTAACCTTTACGAACAAAATTAAATATTGCGAATCGAAAATATCTTGATTTTGTAATTGGTTTACTGAAGAGTGCTAACTTCCCATGTTCAGGTTAAGAGTTTTAACTGCCAAAGATTCTCATCTGTTGAAAACAGTCCGTCAATAAGTGAGAATTGTTCACTTATGGAGACTTGTTAATTTATTTTGCCTTGATGCTATATAGAACAAATAACTGAGAAATTTAATAAAACACAACCCATAGCGAAAAAAGTAAAAATTTGCCATTCAAACATTCCTGCCTCTTAGCAAAACCTTTTATAGAAGGAACAATTTAAAAAGAAAACAACTTGGAATTGTAATACATAGAAAAAATATACAATCGTTATTCAAATCTCGATTGTTTGATAGAACAAATCTGTCAATCCTACTTTTGGATATACCCGCTATTCCACGCCTCGCTCCCCTGATGTCTGGGCGTGTACCCCTTATTATGGATTTGAAGGGAAAGTGAGAGCTGAGTCAGGGGAAGTTGTCGCTGCTCGCAGGAGCTCTGGGCTTCCCAGGCGGGTAAGCTCAAGCAGGCGCGGTTTGACAGGGCTTACGTAAGCGGTAGCGAGAACAAAAATGTGATGTAAAGACAGTGCGTTCGGGCTAGATTGGAAAGCGGTGGTGTGTAAAATTAAAATCAATATACAAACCGCAATACAGATAATCCGGTCTAGATGGACGAGACTTTTTAACAGAGAACTGTGGTAAGTAATCTGGCAATTCCAGATTATAGTCAGTATAGCCAGTATAGTCATTATAGCCAGTATATCCAGTCAGTAATAAAATGTATTACGTGTGAATTCTGAGAGCGGGACATTCTATCAAACGTTCTACGACAAAAATATCCTGACAGAAAATAGATAGCATGAGTCAAAGTGTTCTGCCCAAGCAAATGTACAATTCTTCTCCCCGCAGTGGATTTGTCTCACATACCTCTCTATCTCATAATTTAAGCATTGATTAAAAGTTCTAAATTCCGATATTGGAAACCTGAACTTTTGTCGAACAAACAAGAGACATCATACAGCAGTGTTAAACATACCAAGCTTCAAGGAAATCGTCGAATTAACCAGGAAGTTCGAGAAAATTCGATGAAAAAGAGGCGGCGTCAATGAACTATCAAAATCTCTCAAATTAATCTCTTTTGAATATATTTGGTCCAATACTTCGAAACTTTTAAACATCCGACCATACCTCGTACCATATCTCGTTTCAAAATCCGTCAGTATTATTGAGAGCATAAACTATGTGGATAAAAGAAATCAAAATTACAATATTAAGATGACAATCATTTGTACCATTAAATGTGTGCAAAAATTTATCTCGTCTTAATAAAACGCCACTAATTATTTTTCAGATTATTTCTATTAACATACGACTATGTATAATAATTTTTATTTTCAAAAATGGTTTGGTATTTTATATGCATTTTAAAAGGAACAGTGCGTACACCAATTGTTAACACTTTCTAAGTTCTCTGATATTAATTTTGAACAGCTCTGAAACGATCTTTGTAATTTCACACACACACAGTAATAAAATGAAATACATACTTTGATGTACCAGCAAATAGGAAGACAACTCTCTGGAGTGCACGGTTCATAAAATGCAAAGCTTAAAGACGAGGCGTCAGCGCCGACTAAACCAATCTTCGTAGGGAGGGGAGGGAAAAGATCTGGAGGCGATGTAGGCAGTTGCTGTGGATGTCTAGTTTCTTGAGCCCCCACTGCTGCTTCATATGGATCCATCAACGTCCCACTAGCAACACACACGAATCTCACACACATTGTTATGACCGCTAGACGCATGTTTGAATGTGCACAGACTAATGACTTTTTTGTTACTGTCCATGGAGTTTGTCTTGAAAACGCAAAGGGGAATCCATAGTGTGGTTTTCCGCTTTCAAGAAGCCAATGACAGCAGTGGGAAGCATTTATATTACGTTAACCTTATCAATGTAGTATATGCCACTTCAAGTGTGACGCACGAGTTGTAGTCTGCCACAACCACTTCCTTCCACAAAATAACAGGTCTCTAGTTCCGGAACTGTATGTTTCCTGTGTATAGAAAAGGGTGTCTTAATAGTGTACCGTAATAGTTCACAGCATGTGAAATTATTATTTTTGGGTAATATTCTGTAATATTATATATGCACGCACACAAACACACACGAATACACACACACACACACACACACACATATATATATATATATATATATATATATATATATATATATATATATATATATATATGCCTTTCAAACTAACGAAGCTGCGGAAACGCTAAAACAATTAGCTAGACACGTCCTCACTATTGGACGAAGACAAGCACTTCCCTCTGATATTCCGAGAGCGTAGTGCAACACAAAAGCCAGTTTTGTTATTGACTAAGGTCCGACGCGAACCTACGCCAGCCACTTACACACACCAGTGAAACAAGAAATGAGTAGGAACTGCGAACACCAAAAACATACAAACCTTCGGTTAAGACGAAAAAAGACTTGCTATGTACAAGTGAATTAAGTAAGTTTATATAACGCCGGAGGACAACGAATGTTGATACAGTATATGGTTGCTCTTCTTTCTTGAAGTTTAAGTTCACTTTACTGACAGTTTGTTGTACTGCAACCAACAACTCATATCAGACGGATGAGTGTACGGATGCCGTCAGTTATGAGGTTGGCTCTACATGACTCAGCTAGCGGCCTGGATGTCACAATGGTCACGGATGTGCTAGACGCTGGAGCTGTCCGCTAGTATAGTTTCTCGTAGATTCTTTAGATGGTGCTCATGTCCGTGAGTGGCCCGAATATAGAGACCCGTTGGGATCGCTGGTTGATTGATGAAGCATTGATATGCAAAGCAAGAGTAGCCACTTCGTTCGCGAACTGTCTGCCAGTGGAGCATATACACTCGTCCGTAGTATTGGCGAATGAGCCAATAATAGTAATTTGCGTCGATATATCGATGCATTGATAAAAGCCGAATTGACAAAAATGTGTCCAGAAAGATCTCCTCCAGTAGATACTGAAATGAGGAGAGTTCCATTGAGGCATTTGACCTAAAATGTTATAATTTTAAGGTCCTAAGACGCTTCGTTTAAGAGTTATTGAACCATAAACTCTGCGCGAGTGTTGCGGGTTGCATTTCATATGAATATTAGGCGCGTTTTTCACAAATTCTTCATATTTTTAAAGTCAAACGTACAAAGTAATTCGTCACGCCTCTGGGAAATTATCTTTCTTTAGACACCTTATTTATGAAAGATTGTTTGCGTGTAAAAGCCGAAAAAGGTATCTATACTACTGAAATAATGTAGGTGACAATTCCTTGATTATGTGTGAGCTCTGTGTGTAATCCGTCGGTGTGTGTAACTGAGGAACTGAATTCCTTACCCCAGAATATTATAGCAAGCACTGAAATGTATCCACGAGCGTATTATGCACGTGGTTCAGAGCCGAGATGTACCCAAAGCTAACATAAATGTAATGCTGGAAGAGTTAATTGGAAAATGTACCCAGGAAAATTGTATGAGAAGCTTTGATAGAATCCTTAGCCGCCGATACATGCTAGCTGAGAAGTTCTGGAGATCTTGATAGACCTCTTGTTGGAACTCGGAAATGAATAAAGAAACTAGTGGTGCTGCTGAATGGCACAGACTTCCCCGTTCTAATTTTCTATTTCCTCATTCGCTCTCACGTCGCTCGCAGGTAGTCACGTCGCTCGCAGGTAGTCACGTCGCTCGCAGGTAGTCACGTCGCTCTCGCAGGGTAGTCGCCGCGTGCGACGTCTTTCGAGGAGCCTCGCGAGGTGAAAGGCAAATGGGCGTGGAATCTTGCTGTGTACCAGCGCGTGTTGGGGCTAATGGGCTGCGCGTGCCCGTCCCCGGTCGGGTGGCTTCGGCGCAAGGGGCGTTCTCGGGCTTGCGGGACGGAGCGGCGGTGGCTCTACTGTGCATGCTGTATTGACCCACTCTCCTTGTTGATAGGAGAGGAGGAGGGAGCAAAATCCTGGTCCCAGGTGTACAGGAGGCAGAGGTGACGTGCGCCAAATGTGGGGATAGGAACTGAGCGAAATTAGAAAGATTGGAAGCGGATTTGGCACAGGCCCCCAACAGCCATATTGGAGAACTGACGTTAAGAATCAGGGACTTAGAAGACGTCAGCAAAGGAAAAAGGAAGAGCAAAATGTTCGCGTCCCACAAGAAAAAGAGAAGAGGAACGAGCAAGCCAAATAGGAGCGAGTCTCTTCAGCCAGATGCGCCATATAGTAAGGTGGAAAGGTGCTAGGAGACTCGATCTGCGCGCACAGCGGCGGCGTATTGAAAAAAAAAAAGATTGCCGGCGTGTCTTTCTTCCCGGAGTAGATATTGCGCAAATGACTTCGTTTGTTTGAATAAACCCGAAACCAAATGAAGCAGGCAGAAGTGGTTCTAAGTTCATGTAGGAACCAATACGCGCCGGAAAACGGCAACACTGTTACGACACCAATTAAACAATATGTCGAACTAAGGGCAATGCCATCCCGAGCAAAATTTAAAATGCCAAGGGTCATGTTTCCGGAGTTATGCCGTCCGTAAGATGTCCCAACATTAGGTAGAACGCGGGAAGTGAAATTGTGGATATATGGCTTGTGAGAAATTTAATGGCCTGTTCGTTGATCCCAATCACCTGCTGGGCACGAAGACCAGGACGGACGGCCTTCGTCTTAACTCCGAGGTGCATGGAAGCTGGAAAGTCTTCACGACCAAGTAATTACGGTCGTAATTTACGTGAGAAAATGACAAGTGGATGAAGAGGCAATGATGTCGCCAAGGCCAATTGCCTGGTTGCTAATAAGGGAGCGATGCGTTTGGTGATGCTGCTGGGGGAGATGACGGAGGCGACGTATCTGACTGCTGCGGGGGAGCTGCAGAGGCGACGCATCTGACCTGCTGCCAGGGAGGTGACGAGGCGACGCAATCTGAACTGCTCGCCGGGGGAAGGTGACAGAGGCGACGCATCTGACTGCTGCGGGGAGGTGACGGAAGGCGACGCATCTGACTGCTTGCAGGGGAGGTGACGGGAGGCGACGCATCTGACTGCTGCGGGGGAGGTGACGGAGGCGACGCCATCTGACGGCTGCGAGGGGAGGTGACGAGGCGACGCAATCTGACTGCTGCGGGGGAGGTGACGGAGGCGACCGCATCTGACTGCCTGCGGCGGGAGGGAACGGAGACAACGCGTGTGACTACTGCGGGGGTGAGAGGGCCCGTTGACCGCGGCAACAGGAGTCTAGGATGGATGCAACAGGTCCCGAACACTGACATTCAGGTGAGGAGAGGCTTCGCTAATTGTTGCAAGTGAACTGTCGTAGTAACAATGAATCAGGAATCCGAATTTTTGGAATTTAATTGAAGCATGTGATCCTGAATGTCATAAATAGGAAACAGAGTCCTTGGCTTTCCGGACGCGGTAGCAAAACCCGGATATTTTTCGTTCAGACTACAATACGTTTAGGAGAGATCCGCGAAACTATAGAGCGGTGGTGTATTATATGCGTGAAAAACACATTTTAATATCAGATCAAAATTGGGTTGATAAAGAAATTGAAATGAGGGGTGTAGAAATTTCTGTTCAGGAAGTATCTTAGAAATATTGCTTGCTATCGTCCACCGGGCAAAGCTATGAAATTTAGGCGCTCTCTACGAGAGAACAAAAAATATAAATAAACCGTCATGTATTATGCCGGAGACTTAAAATCTCCCAGACGCAAATTGGAAGGGAATTGGTTTGCGAAAGGAAAGTCCAAACAACTAGTCAACCAACTTGTCTGGGACAGCGGATTAGAGAGGTAGTTAGACAGGCCGGACACGGCAGGATGCGATTCTGGAATATCTGCCTAATTAGACCGAAAGATATTCTTGTCGTGACGACATTTTTAGAAGACATAAGTGACCCTAAAGCCGTTTTAGTCGATTTACAGTTAAATATTTCAAAGAAAAGTAGTACACCGGTAATTCTGGTGGAAGGAATACAAGAAAGCGAAGAACAAGGTTTCAAAATTAACTTAAGAGAACGATATGGGAGAGTTTTCTAGAATAAGGAGAGGAAATCGAGAAATTATGGGAGAGTTTAAATATTTTAGAAAATGGTGAGTAGGCTTTTATACTCAGTAAATTGTTAAAAAAGTAACAGCGGATCCCGAATATTATAATGCAAAGATTAGGCGATTGAAAAGAAAAACAGGGAAGGCATTTAACAACAGACAACCGTAGTGACAATTCATATGACCTTATTTTCGAAATTTTCAAAAGTATTAGGAAGGAAAAAGAAAATGGCAGAGGAACGTCAATTTACAACATATTCTTGATGCGGAGGGCATAATAATTGGTCCGGTATTTTAAATACGTTCGTAGAATGGGGACAGGAAGTAAAGACGAAGATTCCAGTTTGTTCGTTTAATAATTCGCCATAACGGACCACAAGGGAAAAGCGGCAGGCTTTAAACGCATATTGCAGCCTCGTTTTCAAGCAAAAATCTAACATATTCAGATACCAACGCTGGTAGAATAGAATGTAGTTTTTCAATATTGAGTAAATACTTTGAGAAAAAGAATAAAATTAATGAAAAGAGGAAAATCACGAGGTACTGATGGTAATTCCACGGACATCATTAAATTAGGCGGAGAGACAATTCTACCTTATTTAAATTAGGTTATATTAATGTATCAATAACACGCTTGCGTACCGGAAAGATTGGAAGCTGGCTCTCGTAGTTACCACTTTTAAAAGTGGCGACAAGACAATAATTAGTAACTATGCCGGTAAGCTACATCAGTCGTATGCAAAACTTATTGAAATCTAATTTCAAGT